AGAGCTCAGTGAAGTTTGGGGGCTCCTTATCATCCGTCCTTATGAGAGAAAACAAAAAGACAAAACAGGCACATATGTCCTGTGAATTTGGGACTCCAGCTCCGGATCGAAGCCAACAAATGCGGCTCTTGTTAAAGATCAGAAGCAGCCAGGCAGAGCAAATACTACATCATTCTACTGCAGCGCCACTCATCTGTTTACCTGGCTGCTTGTAACTGCCATTTCCAATGTGCGTCAGCCAAATGAATGTAAACACAGTTTGCTCCTGAAATAAGCAGCCTTAGAAGTCTCCAATTTCAAAGAGTTGCTGCACTCTTCCTTAGCAGAAACTGGAGAGTGCAAAGTGTTATGCATCATACTGTGATCTTGCTGAGTGAAGTCCATTAGCACCATCGACAGCTTTCAAGATTAACACTAACAACATCTCCAGTCTCTTCTTATGGCAAACAAATTGTTTTATTAATAGGCTTGTAGAGGCCGTGTAGCATGACATTTTTTTTTTTTTTATGGAGCTATTTAACAATCAAAGAGGTGTTGACTACAAAGTAGATATTGTGAATACAGTACAATACATGTTGACTGGAAATCAACCCTGTCAGTGGTTATTTGAACAATTTAGGGTTTAAATTAACACTGACAACTTTACTGCGAATCATACCTCCCTGCGATCCAAGTCCGCTATGTTCACTCATTATTATGTACAAATGGTGCGGGCTTGAAATTAGAATTTTGCATCATTTCAATCTAATTTGGTGTTCAGTTAGAACATGAAATGAATTAATTACACTAAAAAGAAAAATCACTGATATCACATTTAGGAGGCATTTCTGCTGTTAACGAATACAAACATAGAGTAAATCCTAAACCACCTGTTTCCTCTTACAGAAGATACAGAGGACAGCAGGGCAGTTAAAACCATTGCAATCAATGGAGATCAATTTTGCAAAATGCAAAAGGATTGTATAGTACAACACACAAGCTCTACACACTACAATCTTTTCAATAAGGAACCTTTTTGTAATATGCAAGGACTAAAGTAAGGCAATTGATTTCAAGCCACGCATGCATTTTAGGTGAGCAAACATTACTCTAAATACTATACTCAGTGTCTTAAAAGCTTGATGTGTTTCAGGCTTAAGGAAAATACATTTTAATGAATACTATATTGAGTCAAATAACTTCTGGGGGCTTATGTTTAGGGAAGCATTTAAGATAACACATCACAGTCCTTAAATTCTCAATTTCAGTCCTTTACACTGTGGTTCGGATGCACAAATGCACGCTAACACACGTGATCCTTGTTGAAGTGAGGTTAAGGATACAGTGCAGTTGATAGCTGCAGGAGAAATCTTGAAACCTCCACCAATGTAACCTTTAAACCTCAGGGGGAAAATGAAGGTTCACATAAAGCATCATTTGGGAGTGATGATTCTAGACAAGTGCCAGGAAAACTTTCCCCCTTGGAGACATACTACAGCAGGGGGAACCACTAAATTCAAACTACAGTAGGTCATTTGTGACAGCATGCCCATGCGTCTCCTCAAATGTCCCAGGGTTTGGCACTTTCTCCGCGGTTGTGGTGTGACTGCTACCAGCAGTGTGCGTGCAACACATGAACCTCCCTGATGCTGTAAGCTTTACATCACCGACGTCTGCTCACTTCACTGCTCCTGAGCCACTCTGCTGGGCTTTGTTTAGGGAATAAATTGACATTTTTGAGAAACACATGTAATTCCTCAACCTTGTCTTCTAAAAATGACGTTTCTGTACAACATAACCGGATGACGTACTAGAAAATGTTGTCACTTTCCAAGAACCACAACAGCACTTTTATACAACAGTGACTACATGTTGAAAGTTTAGTCAGGCACCTAAACTACTTGGTTGAGTTGAGAAAAATATTATGGTTTAGGTTAAATTACACCCTTTCACAACTTGTTGGAAGCCACTCATCCACTTCTAGGTTGCCGGGGTGACGAGTCCTGACCTACAATTTTAAAAAACAAACTGCAATTTGACCAAATTTTCCATTTTGTCTTAAAATCTTTATTTTTTCTGCACTTTTGAAACTTCAATACTAGATGAATATTTTTTAAGTAGATACAATTAGTGGCAGAAACAGTGCTGATTTTGTAATTTTACATATTTCACATTATAGCTTGTTAAATGAGAAATATTGTTTGCAATTACTGACCTTTTTCACAATAGAAATATTGAATCTGATCTGATTTCATCATATAATATCTACTAGTCTATCTATCTATCTATCTATCTATCTATCTATCTATCTATCTATCTATCTATCTATCTATCTATCTATCTATCTATCTATCTATACTACACCATACTATACTATATTTCATTGTTGTTAGACATTTAAATGTCCTTCAAATGAACGGCTGTGGTGAAGCAATAAAACAAACTGCAAAAACATACTGATTAGAAACGTGTTTCTGATACGTCACACACAGATGTAATCTGGGAGGAAATTTATTTTCCTCAAACCGTTATTGAAAATGCAGTTTAGTCGTACAGGAACGTCATTTTATGGAGACAGAGCTCAACTGTAATCTCGTGGAGAGTTAGATGAGACGACGGATGATACTCTCAGATGTAAGAGTCTTATCAATCTTGTCCTCTGACTAAAAGAAGCAACAACAAAAAAATATCTGTGTTCTGTAAAATGTCAACCTATCCTTCAACATGTGGAAAAGCTGTGTTCACCTAGTTTATCTAGTGTTTGTTTTTATAGGGTGGTTACGTTCTGAATGCTGAATCTTGTCAGTCTGCTGACTGACCGTGTAAGAGACATGTGACAGTGAGACTTTTCCAATCATCCACGAGTAGACATTTGAAAGCTATATGTATAAAAATAGACTTTAAAGAGTACTCTGTTTATATATATATACAGCTATCTTGTATGGCTTTACCATAATGGCATGCAGGAAAAACTAAGACAAGCCTGAAGATTTAACTACCTGAGTCATTTTCTCTATTCCTCTTGGTGAGACTGGGGAGTAATCGAAATTATTCAGCTCTATGCACTGAAATGACAGAAATCAACAAAGGATAGATCCAGATCCAATTCACGCCTTGTTGTAAAAGCGTCTTCTTTGTTTGTCTTTTTGTTGTTGTTGTTTTTTTTTTAAGACATTCCAACGCTTCCTGTATATATATACACATTTATGGCATGTCTCATATTCACAGTGTAAGGGGTGATGAGCGTGAGGAGAGAGCCGAGGTCTGCAAGAAAAAAGGAAGCAGGAGGCTTTTGGTGCAGTGTGTGTGAAGTGAATGCAGAGATGACAAGGGGGGGAAAAAGATGAGAGCGGGCTTGAGGGGACGCTAGATGGTGAAGATGTGACTCCAGGAAAAGTTGAGCCCTTGGCTGAGAGAGGCCGTCGAACTGTACCGGGCACAAATTTGGATATGAAGGGAGACCATTACCTCCTCTACATCTACCACTGTCACCAGCACCTTCCCTGCTTCATCAACATCTTCCGGTGTTTAACTATCACTGTCTCCTCCTCTTGTCTTGCAGTTTGCAAACATCAGACACCATCCCGTGGTTTTAAATCACCGACGCTTTTCTAAGAGATAGTTGCCTGCAACAAGGACGTTGATCGTTTATCCTGACAGGGTAGCACCATATCCGCCGCAAACACCATCCATCTATTAAACCTCGGCTGTGTGTTTACACTGAAATCAAGAGAAAATCAGCCTCTGCGGACGTTTTTTTTTTCTTTAAACAGAGAGAAACTCAGAAATGCAAAGATGTGTCCCGTGATGAAAAACAGAAAATCCTCACAATAATAAATCAGTGCAAGTGAGAAAATCCTTCAGGGTTTTGTTTTCCACTCCAGCATCTGAGATTGACCCGGCTACTTTCAATCTGCATCGTTTAACATAATGTGCCCGCGGGATAAAAACAGCTATAATTTACTTCCTTACATTTCACTCCCGTTCCTCATTTGCTCTGTTTTACCAACACATGTCTATATCCTGCATTCAAAGAAGTAATGACAACATTGCCTTTATCGTTTATTTTCCTCGCACACAGCCGTAAGCTTGAAAAAGAGAGAAAGAGTTAGAAGGTGCCTTCTTTTACCCTTCAAGTCAAAGTCTTTGGCCGCCGAAGCATGTTCTTAGCTGATAAGGAGGCCAGTTCCTCTCTCACGAGAAATGGATTTTCATTCTTCAACTCTGCTCTTTCCTCCATCTTGAGGAATAGGAAATAACTCTTTGTAGCCTGTTTGTGTTGCCCTGTAAAATCCTTTACTACCGCGCTGTTCAAATCAGCTACATCTTGGCCACACTTACAAAATTCTGCTTCCTCCCCCAGAAATGAAAGCAATCACCTGAGGATAGAACTGGACCAAAAAAAAAGGGGGGGGTTTGCGCAATCAATGGAAGGTCTAGAAATGGTGCAAAAATGCATGAGAAGTATAATGCATAGATCAGTATGTGCTATATCATTCAGCGATTACATTTGTCTATATCAGCATTCAGTATATACATTCAAATAAACTGGCAAACCCCTTGAAACGGTAAAGACTGGACCCTACACTTCCCTTGGCTCCTTTACGGCACATTACAGTTGTATAAGTCTCATATATTGAGCGAGCATAGCAGGCTATTTATTCTGCAGACTAACACTGATATTTCAGAGATTTCCAGTGGTTTGTTCTTGTTTGAGGTTGATGAAATGAGTGATGGGTGGTCCCCATGCTTCCACATCAACTTATGTTTTTTTTAGATGACTCTGTGGTTCTCTCTTCATGCCATCATCGTCATCAAATCTTCACTGAAATCACCACCTCCATTCCCTGTTTTTATCACCACAGGCTTGTAATTCCAACCAAAAGTATCAAAAATCATATGTATCATGCATAACAAGTTACACTGACAGTCCCTCTAGAAGCCTTGTGTTTTCGTATGGCATTCAACCTCGCGGTTTGAGAGAATAAAGAGCTCCCGTACTTTCTGTCTCACTTTGTCCTCTACCTGGAGTTACTCGTCTCCGCCAGCCTGTTGTTCATGATACCCAGGGCACCGACCCCCCCAGAGAAACCATTGTGGCGTGAGCTGCCACAGACTGTCCTGGGATATCCGTTGGCAGATTCAGACAGCTGCTTCTGCATGATGGCCAGAGACACCTTGTTAGAGGCTGCCAGGTCTTTCATGGAGATCATCTCCCCTGATAGTCTGCGTCCCTCAGTGTCACTATCACAGGGTCCGTCTGAGTCGGGCTTGTCAAACCGACTCTGGCGGGTTTTGGAACCCGGGCGGATGGCATTGCGTCTGCTCAGGAAGGCATTCGCCTTATTGCAGCGCTGGCAAAACAAGCAGCTCATTTTCTCCAGCATCCAATTGAGCACCTGCTTGATGACAATAGAAATGACGTTGAACAGCGAGTAGATGCAGCACACGCCCATTAGCATGAAGAAGAAGTTGGCCAACCCGTAGAGGCTTTGGTATTCATACACCGCGTTCTGACTGCTCACAAAATCCCCAAAGCCGATGGTGCTGAAGGAGACGAAGCAGAAGTAAAGTGAGTCTAGGTAAGCCCAACCCTCCACCGGGGTGTACATGGCCGACGCACAGCAAGAGATGGTGATGGCTGACAGACCGAGGATCAGCATCACATGGTACACTGAGGGTTTCCATCCCGGGAGGGAGTAGGCCGAGAAGTCGTGGCGGATGCCTGGCGGGAGCAGACCGCTGTTCCTGATTCGTCGCTCCCTCACGGCCTTCATCACCACGGCCAGGAGCGTGATGATGCGCTCCAGGAAGAGGTTAAAGAAGAGGATGGTGGCAGCGCAGCCCAGGAGCCCGTAAAAGATCAGGAACACCTTGCCTGCAATCGTCACAGGCGTTGACATCCCAAAACCTGCAGAGACAGAACAAATATATTAAATCCCGAAACTGAAGCAAAACACAGATTTTCACTCACAAGATGTCTGAAGGTTCCTCACAGGAAATTACATCTCTTGTTTGAGACAAGGGAAGCGATAAGTGAGGTTTAAATCATACTTTTAAACATATTTTCTCAGTAATTCAATGATTAGAAACGAGGCAAGGGAGGAGATTGAGCGCTATACCATCAAAAAAATTGCAGAAAATACTAGGTAATAGTTTATTTTGGCAGTGATGCAGGAGTATAGGCTTTTTACTGGAAGATGATTGGAAGCAAAGTCAAATAATGGACTCTAATATTGTGTTTTGCATTGTAAATTCAGCTATATGATGTGAAGTAAAAGAGAATGAGGGAAAATCACAAAATATTGCTCATGTTAAGCTTGTATTATATTTATTAAATGCAGACCAAAGAAGGAACTCAGTAAACTGCTTATGATTAAAACTTCTCTGTAGTCACTGATTTGACCTTCCAAAACATTTTTTTTCCCCCCAGGAAAATAATCCCTTTTTTTCCTTTGAAAATAGTTTAGGTGTAACTCGACACTGTTGCTTCTTTTAGAATATGAAGATCCATAAAGTGTCTGCTCTATCTGCACCTATCTCTCCTGGCTCGCTGCAGCTTGAGCACACCAGCTCACCAGTGGCTCAAACACTGTAAAACTAAAAATGCTGCAAAATGGCATGTTTTAATATTAGAGTGATTCAGACTTACATTTGAGATTAAAACCGATTCTGAAGAATAGTAATGACACGGAAAGCCCCACCTTTCCTTAGGTTTGTTACATGTGAAACCCTGGAAGTCGGAATCCTTGTTTTTGAGACTGGTACACTGTAGTTTCAAGATGAAAATGCTCAGCCATGGTGTTGAGTGCTTGTTTTGTGCACAATATGTTCTTCAGCATATAAAAAAATCCAATATCGACCGGTAAACAGGACAAACAACTTGATTTTCGGCAAAAGATGCCTTTAAAAAGAGGAATTACTGAATGCAGGCACGTGTTTTAATACATGCAATGGTACTGTAGTTCAAGAAAATAGGTTAAGATCACATTATCATACATTTATATATATATATATAAGCAATTTGCATACTGAAAACCCTCACGAGACTGTATATACAGCATATGTTTACATACCGTTTTAAATATGCTGTTTATTGCTGTTGGTCATACTGCAAAAATGAAGGACTTAGGGGTATAGAGAGAGGAGGAGGATGCTAGGAATAAGCTTTGGTAAGCCCTCTGAATATGTTTTTTTTTTTTTTCCCCCCCTCAGCTTCGTGGTTTGGCTTCCTGCTATCTTCTGAGTTCTTAGTCAGTTTGACTGAGTGTTCCAGCTGAGGAAGGAGCTATTAGAGGAGGGGATGTTTACGGATTTTGCTGCATGTTCAAGGAGCACTTCTCAGTCTGGAGGAGTGTCACAGGTGCAGCTCTGAAGTTAACATTCGCTGATCGGTGTCTGAGTGCAGTGTAGTTTAGCATCGGAACCAAATAATATTATAAATTCTTTAAGCGTTTCAACTGCCTCCATTAGCAAAGAGGAGATGTAAAAAATAATTTACAAAAACAATCATTTACCTCAGTATGTTTTTCTAATTGAATAAACCGACAGGGCAAAATACAATGTACAGGGCTTGATCTCAGTGTAAAATATAATTGAATTCTACTCAATACCAGACAAACAGCAGTGACTAACAGACTGATATTGTAATTGCATAAGCTTTTTCAACAACCATGACGATATATGTTGGGTAAAATTCCAAACTCCGCACAAGTGATCTTATCATTACAAAACAATCATGTATATTCTAAAACATCTAATTGTGGAAGCTTCAAACTGCAGATACACACATATGCACTGACATTAGACCTCTTGCACTCCCTATATCTCCTGATGTGTGATTTTTCCTGTGCAAATGTTCTGCTCCCGTATGTATTCATTACATGGATGCGTGCATGCATACGTCCATCCCTCATATTCCTGTCTCAGGGCCAGTGTGAGCAGCAACATGCACACAAACTTAAGCACACAGACAATGTCACGCCCCTTATCCACACAACACCAGATGGTATATTTGTCAACAAATAAAATCGTGCTGAAAGATCAACCAATTCACTTCCAGGCCAAGGTTAATTGATTTTTCCATCATGGCTATCCTCCATTTCAGTCTTCTCAGAGCATTAGGGCAGCACTTTCCCCCCTTTTTCCAGCAACCATCCTTGTCAGGTAATAAATGACATCAATATCTAGACAATACTTCCTTTATGATAGCCAAAATGGCTTTTTTGACCTTATCTCCAGCACTGAAAACCACTCTCATGCGGGTTTGCTGTTGACATGTTGGGTCATTTAGATCAGCGCTGATTGATACAGATTGTTTTATAGACAAGAGGGAATATAACCCCTACATGTCCACACATGTACACACACTTTACCGCCTCACAAGCACAGACGGACAAGACCTGTGTAGGTTTTACACCTCGCTACAGATGTCGAAATATCTGCTTTGTAATCGTGAACACGCTGAGTAACCGAGACAAAAGCGACCCAGGGTGACAGAAAGGTGAAGGGCAGCGATTACCCAAATTAAGCCCCTTCAGTGAAATCCTATTTCGCTGTTTCATAGTTAATTAATTATAAGCCCAAGTCTCTCAAACCCAACTGAATCATAGGGAAAACAGATTACATCTCCTCAGCGCACGGGGAGACAGTCTTCCGCACCGTCTCTCATTACCAAGTAAATTACCTAAGAGAGGAAAAGGCACCGGGCATCGATTCAGTGTAGCATTTCAGAGCCATTACTCCAGACTACTGTGTCAAGATGCATTAGTGAAAACAGAACAAGAACACAAAGCAAAGGGTGGGCAAGCTAAAACCAAGAGGCAAACTCTTTGTTACTTGGATTTCTTCATTTAAAATTCTCAATGACACGTTCCAGCTGAAGTCTCCAGACTGTGGTCCCGCTGCTGACCTCGGTCGACACTGCGTCCGAGCCGAGATGAGTCATTTCATTCAGCAGAACTTGACAAGGCCAGAAATCATATGTGTGAAGATCTGATTCAATCAGAGCCCTGGGAGAGTATTTATTCAGTAACATTAAATAAAATATGCTCGACTCAACAGAGAAAATGATGTTATGTTCTAATGGTTAATGATGCCTACACACATAATTACACACTAGAGATTCAACCAGAAGGAACGTGATGGAAATGATGCCATTAGTATCCATTAATTACCATTTGACAGTTTTAAGAGTAGAAGAAGGTGCTTTGGGGAAATGAAATAGGGGAGGGAAAGACAAAAATAGATTTTGACCGTAGTGAATTCAGTATTTAGGTTGGCTTTTATCACTGAGTGTAAATCACATGTGCTGAGCAGCTATCAGAGAGCTGACACAATTTAGACTGAGCAGCTCTCATTACAGTCCAGTGGCAAATTGCAGTGGTTCATTAAGGCGTGTAGTAAATTTGGGGTCTAAACAAATCCCACGAATTACTGAGGGTGATGCTAATAGATATATTGATGGGCTTCATGAATGCTCTCCATTTCATTTGCTCCACTTAGCAAACCGCTCGCCTCTGAGCAGCAATCAATTGTCAGATTTTACACCGAAGAGCCACTCTGAACTGTGCAAAATCTGCAAGAGTCATTTCATTATCTGGAGAGTTGGCGGCACAAAGGACTTAACAGCAGCGATTAAATAACCTATAAAGGGCACTGTTCGATCACTCCAAAGCTCAGGGGGTGAAAAATGATGCAACGTGCATATTCTGTAGAAGTTTGTTTAATGAAAAAACTGAATAAACACATAGAAGCGTTCACAAAAGTGACATTGGAGATTGCTTCATGGTTTAAATATAAGACGTGACATATCCAGTATTTTGGTTACTATCAACAGGTCCTCAAAATGTCAAAACTAACGACATTTAGTTAACGTGTGTAACGACATTCCTCAATACTTTCCAAATTTTCTACCCAGTGTGTGGCAGTCAGCTCAAAACCCATTACTTCCTACTGAGGACGTAAATCTTTAAAACTTCTATAACCAAGGTTTTTATAAGGACAGTTGATCAAACAGTTATGTGTAATGTAAAAGGGTCTGCTCACTGAGACGAGCCCGCAGATAATTATCATGCATCTCCACAGCTCCCATCTGCTCTAATGAGTGTTTTATTGGATTTCGATTGAAGCTCTTAATGTGAGGCCTGAAACTTTAAGGTTTTGATTTTGCCCAACTGTTCCCATCAATCCCATCTTCTAACTTTAGCAAAACGAAAAAGACAGTTGAATTAATATATATATATATATATTATAATAAAAAACACTAAAAGGTACATATAGCACATAATGATCCAGATATATGTCTCAGTAGTTGGTAGAGACCAAAAACAGAGCTAAAAGAAGAGTGAATATTGGGTTTGTAGCTCCCATTGGTCAGAAACACAACTCGAAACGAATGATAATGTTGCTCGACCTAATATATATTGATGTCACAAATATAATGTTTTATTACTTTAAAAGCATAACAATTTCCTGAAACAGCTGCACACTAGCTTTAAGTAAATGTTACTCAAACAGGAGTAAACGGCATGTTTGAGGAGTAAACGGCGTGTTTGTTCCAGACCATTTTCAGCTGAGGGTTTGGTGCACTAGTTAGTATTTAGGACAGCAAGCTTGTGTATGTGGGATTGACTCAAAATAAACTACTGTTCCCATGTTCATGATAATGAAGGCACAGGTTGCCCAGTGCAACAATGAAGGTCTGCAAGCAAAGAGGAATCAGCTGCAGCAGTCTATTCATTTTAAACTGCCGATTTAGGCACATTATTTCTAATTGGAAGCGCTCGCGAGCAGTCCAAATGCTAATTGGATACATTAATTAATTGCTGAAACTATTAGGACTACTAAGACAATAACGGTGAAATAATTTGTTCAAGCCTGGTGTGGAGTTAGTGCAGCTCACCTTGGAGC